TCTGCTTAAATGTTTGTTAAAAATAGCCTTCCATACTGTCTGCCTCACAACAAGCAGCATGTGCATTATGAAGTCTAACATTGCACAGATCCCCTAAGCCAATCCTCTCAGTGAAGTTTTGATACGTCACAAAAGAGAGGTGTGGGATGTAATGCAGTAAGGCATCAAAATACATTAGTCATTCATAATATGAGGAAGAGAAAAGTTACAATTGACTGTTATGATTCTTTAATGGAAGCTATCTTGCAAACCAAGCACAGATATTAGACAGGAAGTAGTGGAGGTTGTAGAAAAAAACAAAACAAGAAATTCTGGCTTTGGGAACTGTTGATTTAGTATAAACTTCTTCAGACAACATCTCCTTTGGAGGCAATTTAATACTAAGTTCCATTTATTGTCATGCATTCTCACTGGTCAGCTCAACAATGAATGAAATATTAACACAATTTGGTATATAACACTTCTCCAGAAATTATACCTCTTTCTGTCAAGCAAATTCCATTTTTTTCTTGCAGGGTCTATAGTGAAGAGTATAGACACAATAATATTAAAATGTTTGCAGCCATAGATCTTTGTAAGGCAGAAGTTAGGAAAAACATGTCCTAACCTGAGGTAAGGTTAGATTTTCTTCTCCTGTACAAAACCCTACAAGAAAGTGTTACTAGGGAGAAGTACAATGTGCTTCAAGCATCACCTCCCAGAGTTGCCCTCACATCTTTCTGTGAGGGCAGGCTGGGATTCTTATCTGTTAGTATTACTTGGAGTGCAGAAGTACTCAGTATCCCAGCCATGGACCAGAACCAGCTTGTGAAAGGCACTGAACAAACATAGGATAAAGGCACAAAAGAGAAGGATCTTTCCTTCCTTCACTTTGTTCCATTGTTCTTGTATCCCAGGGAACCCCAAGCAGAGGATTGCTACCCATGCTGGATCTGGTACTTTTCACTAGGTCTGAGGTCTACCTATCCCCACCTTCTAAGTGACCTCTCTGTATACTTAAACCCTTCAGGGATTTTTATGGCCTATTTCCTTTGTATGTTAAAAGATTAACCTAATCTTCCAAACCTCCCCTGTACAGTGGGACTTCCATTAAGGCCAACAGGTCGGTGTATGCCCTTCAGGCATGGGCCCAATGTGTATATCAAAACTGGAAATGGAGGAGTCATTATTAATTTGAATGAGAAACATTGGATATGGGCACTGAAAATGCCAAATTACCACCTAGATATATGCTGTCAACAGGTGAGATTTATACTGATCTTATAATTGATGCCTTAAGCTAAAGTATTTATGCACTTTCTTAGATTAATTATTCATTTTTACTATGTATAACAGATTTGGAAGGTTAAGGGGAACGGTCGTACACTAGTCAGTGTCAGGGGTTTGGCTTTGCATGCCTTTGCCTGGCTTTTAGGAAGCTAAAACCTGCAGCCTTCTACATGCCAGAGTGCCCATAGCCAAGCAGATTCACCACAATACAACTGCATCAGTGATGGAGAGGCAAAGAGAGGTGTCTGTTTGTAAGGGAGAAATGTGAGGAAACTTGAAGAGAAGCAGGGATGGTAGATTAAAACAAAATAAAATAAAATAAAAAACCTTCCCTGATCCTTTAGTCTCCCAGACTGAGGGCTTGTCTTCACTACAAAATTCAGTCATGACATAATATGACACTGAAGGGTCAAGCTCACTAACAAAATGCTAACAGCCTCTGCAGTTTGTGTAGATGAGAACAAGCTGTGTTCAGTATTCTGTTTGCTAACTTGACTCTTCAAGGTTTTGCTCTAACAATGTTTTATAGTGAAGAGGAGCCTCTAGGCTGATACAGAGCTGCCTTCTTGATCCCTCCCCCAGCTCTAGTTCAGAAGGTGGCAAGACAGATATAACTAAGTGACCTTGCACTTCCTTCAAATTCTGCACATAGCTTACAGGAAAACAGAGAACAGCCTCAAGAAGTTGTGTTCCAGCCACATGGCACTTAGCTGCCAAACACATACTTCTGCTGGGGATTTTGCTGCAGGGATGCTCTCAATTACATGATGTGGCTATGGGTTAGCCACTTTTTGCCATTTCTCTTGTGTAAAGAAACCAGAACATAGGCCAGAATCAGGATCTCTACTGCAACACTGAGGAGAATATTACATTTGCCATCTTTCCAATGGTATTTTCTTAGAGGAAATTCTTTTCCTTTTCTCAGAGAACTAGATTTGGCCCTGTGGAACTACTCTCTGGTTCTACATATGAAGTAGTTTTGCATGTTCACACTTCTTCCTTCTGCTATATTAATATTCATGTATTTTGGACTCCCCAGATTTGTGGAAACATACTTGTCTCTGAATCTGATGTTTGAGGGCACATACAGACATTACACTTAGGCTGCTTTCAGTAAACATAGATCGATCTAAATCCGTAACTGTACAGAAGTTTGGCACATAAAGACTGATCTAAAAATGGTGCAAGCAACCCAAAATAAACCCTGTGGGTGCAGACAGAAGTGCAGCTCCCCACAGTAACTGAGAACGCTTTTCATTAAGCATTCTGAGTTACAACGATCCCCCAAACCAAACAGAAGTTCACTGCTAGTTCCAGGGGAGAGGGAAATCTCCTAGCAAAGCCCCTCCTTCCTGCCAGCCCCAGCTGTTTTCAGAAAAGGAGGGGGGAAAGGGAGAAGATGGAGCTCATTTTAGCAGTTCCCCACCCTCCAGTGGTAGCTGAAAAAAACCCAGACTGAATTCCTTCCGCTCCCTTTCCCCACTCCCATTCTGAAAACTGACAGCCTGGCTAGCAGGCAGCGCAAACACAAGTTACAGAAGATGCTCTGTTTTGACACATTTTCATTTGAACCTGCATGCAATGAGGGTTCAGATTTTCACCCAATTGGCCATTTTTGAAGTAGTCTGCAGCTGTGCACTTGTTTGGTCATGGCTATAGACCACTTTCTGTGGCCAGATCAGGCAAAAATTATCACTTCTGTCTGCGACCTGTGTGAAGTATACTCAACTGAGATAGATTCAGGTTAAATTGAGGTATTGAACATGCATATTGTTCCTGAGACTAGACCCTGTACAGAAAAGTCAGAATGTCTTTACACAGAAGTATTCTGGCTTCCTTTAGATTGTCTGCGTAAACTAATCTATTATTACCATGATTTAAATAACTTCAGTAACGGCTGACAATAGTTGTCAACTTTAGATTGTAGAACAAATCTATCCTACTTATATCAGAAGTCTGAATAAATGACAAGGGCTCAATAAGAAATCATTCCTATGGGATTGGCTTGTAATAATCTGAAAGGGAGTGATTTTCCAGGTGAAATTACTTCTGTACTAATACACATTCTTCAGAGACAGTGGAATTACCCAGGAATGGATTTGGTTTGCTATGCAGAGGCCTGTATCTATAGGCCTCATCATAAGAAGAATCCAAGCCCTATGACAAATTGCATCCCTTAGGTTCATGCAATAACTTTCTGTTAGCTTAAGTGGGAGTCCCCTACCTGCCTCTAAGAAGCAGAGTTTAACTTAGTTTGAAATTTGCTGTTCCAGCCTGAGTCTAATCTTGCTTGTTATTTACAGTTGGTATTACTGTAGGGCCTAGATACTTCAATCAAGCAACTCCCTACAGTGCTATCACGGAAAAGATCATATAGACAGAAAGACAAGATCTTTGCCCCAGACAGCTACTAGGCTATTGATCACAGCATAGTATTACTTCAGACCTATCTCCAATTTTTTTCAAAGTTCTCCAGTACCTAATAATCTGATTTTTGCCAGGCACAGAGGATCTTTGAAACAGTCAAGGAGGAGTGCTTCTCAGAAGCCTTGCTCAAGACAATGCTACATGATCCCTCGATCTTTACTATGAAGAGTATCTGCTTCAGAAGGATTCTAGGGACTAGGCAATTGGCATCATAGTACAGTGCTTATAAAGCAGAGTGTGAAGAGAGTTCTTGTAACTTGGAGGAAAAGAGCTAGCATTATTTAACCTTTCCATCAGAGCTCTGAAATCCCAATCCTCACCAGTTTTATGTATTTTTGCATTTCAGTAACCAACACCTGTGCCAGGAAGTGAGTCTAGAAAGGACACTTGAGGAGGTTTATGGTTCCAGATAGAAAACATCATCATTTCATATGGTTTTCTCTTGAGACAGGCTTGGAAGAGAAACGTGAATTTTTACATCTCCAACTAGGGAAGATTCAAATCAGTGCTCTGCTGCTCACTTCACTCAGACTGAGAAAGAAACCTGAAGGGCCTGCATTTTCACAAACTAAAAAGGAAGGGAGGGAGGAAGGAAGGGAAGACGTTTCCATAACCACTGCAATATGAACATAAAGCCATTTAATTCCACCACATAACCAAGCATATCAGATTATTTTGTCTTCATTGAGGCAAACTAAGATGGCAGTGAAGGAGCTGGTTCCAATTTAAAGTTTCTCCTTTCTCCTAACTTGTTTTATTCAGTGAGCTTGTCTAAGTTTCAGACATCTGCTCATGTTTTCCTCAAGAACATTTGGCCTACACATAGGCCAAATGTGTCTCACTGCAGTCAGCGGGCACCCTGACATCATCTTGAATAGGATCAAGATTTGGCTCTTACGTAGCTTTTGTTGTATTACTATATGAAAATAATCAATCATTTTTATTGTACTGTATCCATCCTAGCACCATCAATTAAATTATTCAGATTTCTCTGAAACAGATAGGTAATTGTAGTCTGTTTTTATATAAATCTGTGTCTTGGATTAAACATTCATGCTGCATATACAGTGAACAGAGAACACAGACTATGTCCAACTCTAATGAAAGTTTAATCATGATGTGATAGTATGAGCTTACAGTAAACCCAGAGTGGTGATAACCAGAAAGTGAGCTATGTTCTATTCAGTGATGGGTTTAGGACACTTTATATAGCCATCTGTGCCATGACAGTTGAGTCCCTGAGAGACTAAGGAGCTTGGCCCCTGATTTTTAATGTTTGCATCTCTGTTTTGTGCAAAGTATAGATGGATAACAAGGTATCCACTGGTGAACACAGTTTACAACAAATGGGACTTGATGAGATAGCCAACAAAATTTTAGACCTCGACAAATGGAGAGAAATTTTTAGTTTCCATGGGTAAGATTTTTTTTTATCTACTTGGATCACATGTTTCTTAAGAAAAGCAAGACTCTTTTCTTAAAGATGTGTGTGTGGGGGGAGGAGGGTTATGTGTATACATGTAATTTTTATTTCCCTGTCTCCTTGAGCACTAAATTGAAAAGGTATCAAATGTACTTTAAGTATAATTGCTTTATTTCAAACTGTTTTTCCTAGACAAAAAAGTTGTAATGGCTTAATTCTACCTTTAAAATTCTTCACCTTTTTTTTAAATTTGCAGGTTGGAAACTAGTAATGGAATTTATCAGGTAATGCTCTCAAAAGGACTCATTTTCAAAGTCAAGTATATAAAAGGAAAAGGAAAACAAAATAAAACACATACTAAGTAACATTTTATATGCCGAAGAGGGTAAAAAGTTAGTCAAAATGCTTATATAATAACTCTTTCTGTTTGCAATAAGGGTTTTTCTCCAGTAAATTGTCTATAACTCAGATGATTTATTCGATAGATAAGAAAGAGATCCCCTGCTCTTTGGTAATCCAGGACAGCTAGAATGCAGTTCTCTTTTGCAAGGTTCAGCTGTCACTAGGTAACCTCCCTTGTGACTGCTTTCATTACACTGGCAAATTATGGACATCAGTCCAAACGTGCAGCAGGTAAAAAGACGAGTAGATTCAAAGTTAAGTTACATTGAACTACTGCAGGAGGAGCTAAGGAAAAGCCAAATAGTAAGTAGAAACTATTTGTTTTATTCCTCCCATCCCCATGCAAAATATAAGTGCTGGGAGAGTGTGACTTGCAAGTGCCTTTTTTAATGTTAGTTACCACAATATGGTAAGTGGAAAATTTTATATGTGGCTTTTAGAGAAGTAATTGTACTGTTACTACAAAAAAACACTATCTGAGCAGTTCCCATAATTGTGTCAGTCTGTGCCTTTGTACATACTGTTGTATTATTTCCAGCCTAGCGCTCTGGTATACTGATCATTCGGGTTTTCACTTTTTAAATTATCTGGAGCTACATAACAGAAAAATATTATTCTTAAAACTTTTACCACTTTGTAAGATAATTCTTACTTCATTGTGCCCAGTTTGTTACAAATAAAGTGAACAGGAAAAACAATGAATATTTAGGGGGTCCACGTATAGAAATTAGCTGGTTTCTAAGTGCTTTATATGAAAGACTATACAAGAACTATTGATTGCTTTATATAGAAATACCAAGACAATCATAAATCTGACGATGACAATGAGGATGGAGTTGGAACATCTCAGTCTACAAATATCAAAAAGCAGGAACAGTTTCTATCCAGTATCCCTTACTCAATCCCCAAACCTCTTATTGTCTCTTCCAACCTGGGTGGACAGCCTATCTCCTTAGAAATGGCAATGGTAAGCATTCTTGTCAATTAAGCATGAACTGTAATTTAATCTCACCAAAACAAAGAGATCTGGGAAGTTTATCCAGTGTTATATGAGGCTTGGAGTATTATTGGAGTCAAGGCTTCAGTTCTTTGCTGTTGATAAAAGGAGAATATAATGATGATTACTTATTTATGAGGCTTTTAAAGACAATGGTTTTTGTACAACCTGCAAAACTGATATAATACAATGTTTATTAGATGATATGGCAAATAATAAAGGATAATGTTTCTCTAATACAGTATTTGGTGTTTAAGTTACCTAGCAGGTGGTCACAGAACAACGGTCATAAATTCAGTAGATTAGAATAATATTTCTCTTCTACCCAAAAGGGTAGTTTTTTAAGCCACTTAAATGTTTAGGAGCCTGATGCTATTCAGCACCCATCTGTAGTTTCCACTGTTTTCAATGGGATTAGTTCAGGTGGGAAGCTTGCAGAATTGGTCTATGTTGCCTAAAGGCTGTAAACATTAATCAAAATAATCTCAGTCATCTATCATTTTTAATGCCAAGGTAACATATAGATTGAGAGTTTAGTCATGGGCTAAAGGCATAGCTCTGGCAGAAGAACTACACTGGTGAACATACAGAAAAAGGGCCCAACCCTTCAAACTGTTTTGTATGCGAGTATCTTTACTTAAATGAATATTCCCACAGACTTAAAATGAATCCACCCACACTGGTTAAAAAAGCCCACGTTCATAAATCATTCTACTTCAGAGGCAAGTGGCTTAATCAAGCACTGCATGCAGAGCAAATCATGATATATGTTTTCCAGAAATAGGGCTGGGCATATATTTTAAATGAATATTTACCAAAGAAAATGGCACTTCAGTTCTAGTAAGACAACTGATGAATGCAAAAAATGTTTAAACCAAATTAAGAAAGAAAAACACCAATAAACCCCCTTCAGAAATGCCTAAAAGAAGCAACATTTACAAAATAAATGATTTGGCTGCATCCACACAAGTAGGGGTGAGTGTTTGCAGCAGCACAAATAGGAGTGGCACAATTTTGTGCCACTACTTTGTGCTGCAGTGCCCACCCCTGCTGGTGCAGTTTGCAGCGGGGCACATTGTCCATGGGGCTTGACAGCCCAGGGCTGCTTGCTCCCCCTTCTCAAGGCACACTGCGTCCCAGCCAGTCAGGGAGGCAGCTGGCTAGGGCGCAGGGTGCCTCAGCATGGAGGCTCCACGTGCCTCAGTGTGGGGGCTCCGCAGTGGAACCCATGCACTGAGGCATATGGAGACGTGGCACACCAAAGTGCCATGTGCCGGGACAGCTCACATTTGCATGTGTCTATTTGCAAATACAGCTGCTACTAAGAGTGAGTTGCTCAGCCAACATCCTGTGATTCTCATTACCCCAGATAATTCCACAGAGCCAGCTAAACCCGCCTTATGGCCCCTTTGCATTTTTGTGCCCAGAATTTTGTCTCTAGATAAATCTAGATTCATCTCTGTCTCCCTTTAAAAGTATGTGATCTATCCTAATCTGAATAATGTGCACACTGGAACTGTATTTTACTGTAATAGTCCCATGCAAAGGGAAATAAATCATTTGAACTGAAAGTTTTACCTTTCCTGGTTCTCAGTGAGACAACTTTACTCAACTTTTGTCAGTGCAAAGGAAGGTGCCTTAGAGGAATGCCTTAGAGTGAATACAAACATAGGGTACAGGCAGGGACTTGAATTCACCCACCCCACCCTTCATCAGGGGCTGAAAAAACACCAGATGAATGCCCTCTGCTGCCTTTCCCCCCAGCCCCGATTCTGAAAACAGCTCGGAGGCTGGCAGGCAGGCAGACACAAGTTACCAAAGACGCTATGTTTTGAAACATCTTCATCTGAACCCTCATGCAATGAGGATTCAGATTTTTCCCAACTGGCCATTTCTGAAGTAGTCTTCAGCTGTGCACTTTTGTTTGGTCACAGCTATAGACTACTTTCTGTGGCCAGATCAGGCACAAATTGTCACTTCTGTCTGCTCCAATAATATTCTCCCATTTTGAGGCCCCTTTACACTCTTTTAGTGGGGTAAATGGCCCATATTCTTAATGAGAATTAGGTCCAAATTCTGTTTGTATTCCTTGTATCTTAAGGGGCTCCGAAAGATGTTATTTGGAAATGCACTCCAGGTCTTCAGTTATGAATGGAAAAAATCATATTTCAAATTTCATGAGGCATATTCTGACCTGTCCTATGCTCTGGAGGTAGACAAGGTAAATATTTCTGTTTAATGCCTGGTGATATATCTTCAGCATCAAAGAGGGAACTGCTAGGATTTGCAAATTTTCTCTATGTGATTCTGAGGCAATCCCAATTGAATATGGTGCTTGTTGACTGGTACCATTAAAAAATTAGGATAGATTTAGCAATGATGATGGGGGGCGCAAAATGATTTATGAGGAAAGATTACAAAAGTCAAATGGATATTTAATCAATATTAGAGGGAGGACAGCTCAGTCTCAAGGTATCTGAAGGGCATAAATACCAGGGAGAGTGATGGAAAGAAGGAGCTCTTTTTCATAAGAGAACTAAGAATAGCAGACAGAAATAAAACTTAAGAGATGTCTTCCTTTCCCCCCTTTTGTGACCCTAGGACAGTACCTTTAATTTATTCTTCTCTGACTTCAGATGCTCTTTCTTCCTCTAGGTAGTCATGCTACACACAGGGATCTAGTCATTCAAGTCTCTCAAAGTGTCTTAAATGCTGCTTCATGTCACTGAAATGCTTTTGGCAAATCCAACTAGACCCACCTAGAAAGGTCTTTTATTGCTGCATTCATTACTCAGTGGTACTTTGCAGCAAGCCCCTCATTAGAAACAATGCATTGGTCTGCTACCTCTGAAGCAAACAGGAATTAAATTGTGATTCGGAGACTCCAGTCCCTCTGGTATGAGGATAGTAAGGAGGAGAAAGTAAACACAGTCATATACCTGAACCCATCCTAAATCTAGAACAGGACTATCACCTATATACTGATTCAGCAGTGCTTGCTGTTGTGTGGCAAATAACAGACGAAAGGGTCCACTGATGCTCTAGCTTGTTTTGCCCTCTCTAAACTGCGACTTTCTGACCTTCAACTGCTCTATTTACATGAGGCTACCCTTATGCAGGTAGATGTCTAGGAAATAAGGAGACATTTTCCCAGCATGGGTACATGACTAGGGTCATAGCTGCATTCTTTCTTGAGTATTTTTAAGTCTATAAGGCCTTTTCCATTTATTCTAGGAGATATAAGCAACACAGAACAGCCAGACAGACCCAAGAGCAGTATCTGATAACAAGGTGGCTCAAACTCTGATCAGAGTATTCAATAGGATTCAGGATGAAATCCAAGCTGCATAACTAGTTAGTTAGATATACTGGTTATGTATAACTGTCGGTTTGTTTTAACTTCCAAATTATTTCTCAGGGGGCAGCAAAAGCAATTCTGATGGCTGTACAGGTAAACATCATCAAATACTTCTTGTTCATAAGAAATAACAAGAAAAACATTCACCTCCAAAGGTAAGAAACCATCCTTTCCCAGAAGATTATATACCAATTACTAACATTTTTGGACTTGAAAGACCATTGTTGTTCTCTGTTATGCGGAGCCAGCCTTCTGCAAATACAAAACTTAAACCAGTATGGAAAGGCAGAATCTGGCCCACAGCCCATGGATTTATTTTCACAAAGTCTTTTGTTTTTACGGCAATAGTTGTTGCTTCTTTGTCCCATTTTGGCTTGTGATGACCAGCATGTGTTGATTTTACTTGGACAATTTCCCTGCCGCACAGCTGGCAATTGTACTATCAGCTGGAAAAGCTTCCCCTGATGCAAGCATGTTCTTTGTCATTGTCTGAAAGGAGAAAGCGGGGTTCAGTAGTAACTGCAAAAGAACACTGATGTAGTAGCACTAAAATTAGTGGAAGCCCTAAAACACATTTCATATGCCCTCCCCTTTGCATGTGGGTACCTTCTTAATGATAGCTAATGAAGATGCTGACTTTGGTAAAGGTGCGGTCTAGTTGATTACATTGTAACACAAGCACACTAACATCTTTAAGGGAAACTCTGCCTGTTTGTACTGCAACACCCTTCCTGCTAAGTCTTCACAGGGTTCTTCTTCTTTTCTCTGTAGCATCTATCTTTGACAGTTCCAAAAACTGAGTAACCAGAAAGGACCAGATCTTCATCTGGTGTAAAGCTTGCATAAAACACCAGCCAAGGTTCTGAACCAGGTTCAGGGCCCTGATTCTCTCTTCACTTGCACTGATATAAATCAGAAGCAGCCCACTGAAATCAGTGAATTTATACTTATGTAATGGAGAGAAGATCCCAGCTATGTTTAAAGGTAATTTTGTATGACAGTCACAAAGTTGCTAAATACCACTCCAAATAACTGAACAGCTAAAGTAATGTGAGTAACAGAGTATATTAGCAAGAACATGGCTCTTGCTAAGAGCTCAGTCCTTTTGTTGGTAAGGCAATGGGATCAGGATTGCCTAATTCTTTGTAAGGTTTCCCATACCTGCCTTCTACCTCTGGCAGTGACAGAGCAGCCTCCAAGAAATTCACCAAGGACAAGTCACGCCTGACCAACCTGATTGCCTTCTATGACGAGGTGACTGGCTCTGCGGATGCAGGGAGACCAGTGGATGTGGTGTACCTTAATTTTAGCAAGGTTTTTGATGCGCTCTCCCACAACGTTCTCATAGACAAGCTAAGGAAGCATAGGCTGGATGAATGGGCTGTAAGGTGGATAGAAAATTGGCTGAAGCATCAGGCTTAGAGACCAGTAATCAATGGCTAAATGTCTAGTGGCCAGCCGGTATCAAGTGGAGTGTCCCAGAGGTCAGTCCTGGGGCCAGTGTTGTTCAATGTTTTCATCAATGACCTGGAAGATGGCATGGAGTGCACCCTCAGCAAGTCTGCAGATGACACCAAGCTGGGGGGAGTAGTAGATATGCTAGAGGGTAGGGCTAGGATTCAGAGTGACCTAGACAAATTGGAGGACTGGGCCAAAAGGAACCTCATGAGGTTCAAGAAGGACAAATGCAAAGTCCTGCACTTAGGATAGAACAGTCCCATGCACCAATATAGGCTGGGGCTGACTGGCTGGGCAGCAGCTCTGCAGAAATGACCTGGGGGCTACAGTGGACAATAAGCTGAATATGAGCCAGCAGTGTGCCCTTGTTGCCAAGAAAGCTAATGGGATACTGGGCTGCATTGGTAGATATGTTGACAGTAAGTCAAGGGAAGTAATTATCCTCCTCTATTCAGCACTGCTGAGGCCACATCTAGAGTACTGTGTTCAGTTTTGGACTCCCCACTACAAAAAGGACATGGACAAATTGGAGAGAGTCCAATGGAGGGCAACAAAAATGGTGAGGGGGCTGGGGGACATGACTTATGAGGAAAGACTGGGGGAACTGAGCTTATTTAGCCTGGAGATGAGGAGACTGAGAGGAGACTTAATAGCAGTCTTCCACTACCTGAAGTGGGGTTCAAAAGAGAATCGAGCTAGGCTATTCTCAGTGGTGGCAGATGACAGAATAAGGAGCAATGGTCTCAAGTTGCAGCAAGGGAAGTTTAGGTTAGATATTAGGAAGAATTTTCTCACTAGGAAGGTAGTAAAACACTGAAACAGGTTACCCAGAGAGGTGGTGGAAGCTCCATCCTTGCGGGGGTTTGAAAACCCGGCTAGACAAAGCTTTGGCTGTGATGACTGAGGTGGGGCTTGTCAAAAAATCCCAGCTTTGGCTGGGATGATAGAGGTGGGACTGTTCTACCCCCTTGCAGCGATGCCTACAGAAATATTTAATGCAATAGTGTGGGATGGACTGGTAGCTACTGACACACAGTCCTCCCCAGAAGCTCTTCTAGTATTCTCTTGGACCCTTTTAACTTTTGCAAATATCTCTGCTCCTAAGACAGCATTTACAGCATGGCACAGAAAAATAATGGTAGCATGAGTCCAAACAGAAGGCAATGAAGCATTGCAGAGGGGTTCAAAACCCAAAGCTATTGCTTTCATTTATTCTAGCCTTCTCCACATCCCTCTAAACCTTTGCCCATAGGAGGAGGATTTGCCCAAAATATTTCAATATTTCCTTAGCCTCTCCTCACAGGTTTTTCTGTTGTGGCATATTTTGGATCACAGTTAAGGCTGAACTATACCACATGGTGCCCTGTGTGATATAGATCAGGTTATTGCCTGAAAACATCCTGGGATTGGTCTTGGCTGAAATACTAGGACCAAGGCAAACCAGATAACATAATCAGTATTACAGCCCTATTTAAGCCTGGGCTGTATTCTAATTCTGTAGAATGATTACAATATGGCCCCAGGGGCAGAGTCAGAAGGGGTGCAGTGGCACGGTCAGCCCCCAACTCCTTTCAGATTCTATTTCAGGAGCAACAGCCAAAGACTAAGTCCTAGAAGCAGACAAGAAATTCCCTTTTTCCTTCCCCTCTATGCTCAACTACACCTCCCCAAGTTCCCACCACTCCCTTCCCATTCCTCCCCTCCCCCATCTGCTACTACCATTGTCCCAGCTAATGTGGGGATGGGAGAAGTCCAGAATCCACTCCAGCCTGGCTATGCAGGAAGCTTGGTTCAGTTGGGGACAGCAGCAACAGTGGACAGCTTCCTCCTCCATGCTTAATCCCCCCAGGTTTCTCTGCGAGTCCCTGGCTGCTCTTCCTGTTGTGTGGTCTGCACAGCTGGTGGCAGGGGTGCAGCTACCCCTGCAGCACCAGTCACTGCTCCTGCATCCCCCTTCACAACATCTTGGATCTATCCATGCATGTTTCTAATACAAATCACATCAGAACACAGTTGGGTCACTATCTTACAATAACAAGAAAACACTTTAACATCATGACAGTGGCCTTGTCAGCATTCAAATAAAAGTTCTGATGCATGAAATGATAGCCAGCAGGGTCTGTACTGTCTCTTGTAGCTTATTTAATGCAAAGCCTGGTATAGATCTGTCCGTGTTTAGACATCAGCACTGGCATCGTCACCACAGTGGTTGCTAGCCAGCGAGTACTGAGTCAGGCCTGTTCCCAAGTACAGACACCACCTTAGAATTTCCGTGTGCTAGGTTCATCTGTGACTCATGTTTGCTTGTATCTTGCATTGCAGTTTGTATGAAATAAGCCAAAAGGACCAAGAAAAGGGTCTTGCAGCAGCTGTGGCAGATATTCTGTGGACAGCAGGGGAAAATCGGACAGCTACTATATGTCTTGTCACTACAGATACTTATTTTCCATCAAGTAGAGACTACAAAGTAGATAACTTTACTGAAAGAGTGAGTAAGAAAATACCATTTAGAAACAAGATTTTCCAAAGAAGTGTTTGGTTTGATCTTTTTAAAGACAAGAAATATAAAATCCCATAAACCTGTGCCCTACCTATGATACATCACAAACTATAAGCACTTAAGATCCAAGTCACAACTAGAGCATTGAACAATATTTTTGTCTCTTCATAAAGGCTTTATGTGAATCCAGAGGCTATAATCCTTTTTCACAAATTATTTTTTTCTTGCAAAAAGGTGAACAAGTTAACTTTATAACTATATAACATTTATTTAGCTTTCCTATATATAATTTAATATCTTAGTTCAGGCAGTCAAATTAAATTCCTGTGTTATTCTTTTGCTTGTTTGAAAGAAATATAACATCAAGTTGAAAACTCTGGTTTTAGATATAATTAATGTCTCCTTTTCAGTGTTTTTTCTTCTGTTCCTTACAGCTCCAGCTGTTTGAGTTTTTTGAGAAAGAAGCAGCTCAGAAATTTATCTTTGATCACATACAATGTGTAAGTAAAGAATAATTTCTTTAGGTTGAGTTATTTTGTTGCTTCCAATTTATCCTGCTTCATTTATAAAAATGGATCTCCACAATAGGCAAATAAAATCATCTTTAATGATATTTTCAGAATCTTAATGAAGAGTTCATTAATCATTTGTGATTTTCACAACAGGAAATTGAATAATGCATTACTTGGCTTAATCCAGTTCCCACTGACTCTGGTTGGGACAGGCTACTACTATTAAGCAGGTATTAAATAAGAACAACATTTTATGTTAACAAAAAGGTGCTTTGTAAAAATAAAAAATACTGGAAAGTCATGAGATATGTTTATCAAAATCTGCATACAGAAAAAACAAGAAACTATAATACAGGTTAGTCAGTAAAATTACAGAAATGGAAGATTAATGTTATCCCTTTTGACCTGATCCTAAAGAATGGAAAAGCTCCCTGTAACTTCAGCAACAGTCCATGCATTTGTCCCGTTATTTTCATCTAAGTTTATTTTAAAAGATTCAATGGGAATATAACTAAAAAGAGGTACAGAAGAGGTATTTCAGCCAGTGGGTAACTACTAAAAGGCTATCTTTGTTCTGTTTCAGTTCAAAGGTGAAGGAAGCCATGGAGTTATTTTATTTCTGTATAGTTTGCTCCTCTCTAGGACATTGGAAAGGTAAAACTCTACTGCTGTTTAGCAACATCTTATAAAATGGCCTATGCCCTTCTGACAATTAAAAGCATGGTCTTAAGAAAGGTTTAGGTAGGGAAAAAACTACCAAGAAAAGGAAATTCTTCAGGCTATGTTCCAAAGAAAAAATATGGATTTGGTACAGATATTAAAGTAATCTTTGGTATCTCTAGGTTGGGGGGGGGGGGGGGGGAGAGAAAAGGGCCCTAGACACGGCCCTTCGTTTCGTTTCTCGCTGCTGCTCCTCCCCCTGCGGCCCCGGGCCCGCCCCGCCACCTCCAAACAGAGAGAGGCTTTGGCTTGGATGCTCCAGCTCTGGCTCAGCCCTAGCGAGCAGTATAAACTAGCTAAGAGGGGTTATTTGCATGCTGCTTGGCATATTTTTTTCAGTGTATGATGGCTTTGGGGTTGTTTGGTTTGTTGGGGGGGGGGGGGGGGGGGGGATGAGAGGAAAGAGAGATGTAATGAAAAGGAAAAAAATAAACTATTGTATCCGCAAGAGGGGGAAAAAACCCTGGTTTTCAGAATAACAACTCTTACATTATAGCGGTAACAGTGATTGGAAGTCAGTCAGACTTAGATATCTAGGTCAGCAAGTGTTTGTCTACATACAAAATGCTGTAGTACTCTAATTGTTCCAGCATAGATAAATCATACAGCCCTGCTAGAGAGGACACAAGTATAGCACTGTAAAGGTATTTGTTACTGTTATGCCCAACCCCACCAGAGGAAATAATCTATATGTGTCCTTAGTGAAAACTGTACTGGTGTAAAAGGTAACATGTGTAACCAAAATAGATTTACCTATACAAAGTCGGTATAAATAAATCTGTGTAATGCAGATCTTAGGTAAAAATATTCCCTATCAGAAATAGCAACTCGGTTCAGCTTCTACAAACAACTAGTAGAACTGTTGATAACAATTGTTAGTAAGAGCTAGGGATAGACCAGACCCAAACCTCCTGATCCAAACATGCACAAACTTTGGGAAAGTTTGAATTTAAGCCTAAATTTGAATTTTGCATCTTAGATCATCTCTAGTAAAACCATTGCATTAGGATTCTATTGTAACAAAGGAAAGCAAGTAACCCCGAGGAAAAATACTACCATTTTCATTGTTCTTGCCACTCATTCAGATATGTAGAGATTGTCCTGTCATTGACTTAACACTATGATAACACTTTTTGTTTGTTGCACAGGCTCCAAAAAGACCTAGACATCACAACATCTCATCTGTTACAATTCAGTCTTGGAAACTTCATCTGTAGACAGGTAAGATTAGGTGCTATTTTTTTCCTAAAGTGGTTTCTGTAAGACACCTGTGCTAGGTTTAGCAAAGGTTCTTGATGGTTAAAAAGATACACCAAAAAGTAGATGGTCTCAAGTATAGTAAAAAGATATTTCTGAAGCTTTAGAATGGCATCTATTGACTATCATAACACCGTTATGCATTTTAAGTCAATTTCTACTATTATTAAAACTTTTTTGAATTTCAGGAAGAATCCACAGAGGATTCCCAAGTTACAAAAAATGTTATTGTTTATTTAAATTTTAAACACCTCTTCATGAGCTGGAGAGATCCTGAGTACCATCAGAATGGTATCATCACAAAAAACCCACTGTGCAGCAGAACAAACCAGCCAGTAGAAAGTACATGGTGGAGTAACCTATCCTGTCCTTATTGCACCCAAAAAGCCCATTGCCTCAACCAGTGCCACATGAAACAAATTATTCTTGTAATTTGTGGCTCATGCAACTAGCATAACTGAGCCTCATATAATTTGAATTTCTAATATCAGCCTGAAGGAACACTATTCCTTAAATCCTTTGGGGGCTGAGGTGAAGAAATAGTCATAACTTTTACAGTATCTTGCTAACAAGGCATTTGTAAGGTAATAAAGGATCGTGGGCCAGATCATGGCTCAATGAAACCAGGCAAGTTTATATCAGTTGAATATTTCGCTTCTTGTTTGGTAAAAAAAGTAAAAACAGATTACAGTGTACTAAAGGCCATGTCCAGAACTGGAAATGAAGATTCAAAGCCATGGTTATGGTATTTACTTTCTCTGTGTCCTCTATTGCCTAGGGTGCTGTGAAGCTATGTAAAGTAGCCAACTTCAGACATTTGCTACGGTTTCTTCCTTAATTATTTTCTAGTCCTGCAAAACTGTGTTTTGGGGGGAGGGGAGGAGCAGAGTCAGGAAATTCATTCTAAAAACCTGCAAAAATTAGAAGGCTTCACCTGAAACCAGGCCTATCTCAGACTGACAGTTTCATAGAAAGAGAGGCAGCCTGGGATTCTTGACAGAATGCAACACTGATTACATGGGATGCACTGCATCTTTATTTGTCCACCCCTAAGTGCTGTACCCTGAAAGCATGTGCCACTTGGCTTACGCTGTGTTTAAGACTAAATGATACCAAAAAAGTCAGGGGAAAGTTATGAAATAGATTGCTTACACTACACTACAAAACAGTAAAAGAAATGTTCCAGTCTCAGGGGCTAAGTACAGACATGCAGAATGTCCAAGCTGAATTGAGTCCATCTGTTCAAGTTAGTCTAATCTGTATAGATTGAACTGATTTCCAAGTGGATAGACATTCACTTTTGATTCAGGAAATGCAGGCACATGCCTGCAGTGGCTCAGGCTAGAAGCCAGGGGGCACTAAAGCAACCCTTCCTTCCCTTCCACAGTGCTGAGCTGAAGTGGGGGTGAGGTGTGGCCAGGCCCCGCCAGGCCGCTATGATTAGGAAGGTATTTAAACCCTGACCCTGGCCTGCACCATCCTCAGCCGGGGTGTGCCTGGAAGTGAAGAGGGAAGCAGCCCTTGCCAGGCTTTTCTCCCAGTCGCCATTCAAGGGGCGGGAGTGTTGCCAGATCCCAGCCCCCGACTAGCATTCTAAGATGGGAGGAGCTGCTTGTGTAGATTGCATGCATCTGTTGATGATACTGGATGAGCACTTCAATCTCCCTCTCCCTGCTTCTTCATACTGTCTGCAGCTATGGACAGGATGTGAGTGGCACCAAAGCCTCTCAGAAGTGCCTCTGCTGTCTTGTTCTTTGGGGTGTGCACAGCCACTTCCCAAAAAATTTATGTGACAGTGTGGCCTTGTTTGTTCCTGGCAGATCTGCCACTTTCTTATTACCCTATTAGCTAGTGCTTCATACTTTCCTAAATCTCAAACTGACAGCACTGACAGTCCCATTCATTGCAAACCTGGTCATTTCTCAAACCTCTCTCTGTCCCCTGTTGAACACTGATCGATTGGGGGACCAGAAAGCTGCACTCTAACCAGGCTCAGTAACTGGTGCATAGAAGCAATCACCAACATTAGTCATTGCATAGTGAAACTTCATTTGATATATGGGTTTCAGGGTGGGAGATGCCTTTGAAGCAAGCCAGAAGGGAACTTATCAAAACACAAAACTTATCAGCCCATCAAGCACTGCTTATTGACTACAAAAGAAAACAAAAAAGTGTCTCATGGCTGGGGTCCATGCCAATGGGAGAGGGGAGTGGGGGAATCCCTGCTTGAGCAGCGAGCAGTTGCAGGGGGGGGCAGGGGAAAGCCTGGCAGATGCTGCTGTACCACTGCCAGGCAGACCCCGGCTGTAGTCCCCCACCCTCCTTCTCAGCCAGCCAAAATGGTGATAGTGCTCCAGCTAGGGAGGAGAGAAGTGCGGCAGCCCTGCTCTCTGGAGCAGACAGCCCAGCCCAACCCAGCCCAGGGCTGAAAAGCATGCTGGGATGCTGGGGGACTCTGATTTAACTTAAACTAAGAAGGGGTCTGGGACAGAAGTTCCATAAACCGGTTTGACCTCAATCAGTAAAGTCTGATACTATATTCAACCATTTTGAAACTGGTTTATGTGCATTGAACTTTTTCTTCTGTTACAGGTTTAAACCAGTTTCTGATCACTTAAACCGGTTTATGTGTAACTTCTGTCTCTAGCCTAAGTGACAAGCAGAAGTCCAGTGCCAGGAGTTTAGAATATATATTCAGAATGGTTTTTCCTCTCTGAGGATACTTGCAAAACAGGTAGAAACCAAGAACAATTTAAAGTGCTGTCCTAAATAACAAACCCATCTGGGTGATCTGCAGTAAGCTAAAGTCTAAGTTTAACTTTGCAGCCCTGCCACTATTTTCACTGACTTATCTCATGAACCCAACCTACCTCTCAGATACAGCCAATGCTTTGCTTTGTTGTGACTACTGATTATACAGTTTTGGACCCTTCTGTAGAGCCAAGTCTGGTCTAGCAGAATGAATGTTGGGTTCGGAGATAAAACCTCCAAGTTCTATTCCTAGCCATGCCATTGTGATCCTGTGCCACCCTGCCCCTTTTCCCCATCGGTATAATAGAGTCCATGACACCTTTGACACAGGAAACTAACATCTTATGTAATGGCCTGTCTAGTTATTAGTATTGATTACCAGCATGAGAGATGCCTGAAAACACCTAAGATAGACATTTGGAAAAAAGAAATAATCTTTCAAGCCCAAAGGATTTATTCCACTCAGAGTAAAGAGAAGCCATAGGAAAACTGATGAGTCCTAGAGATCTGATTCTGCCCTGCTGCCTGAAAGTGTAACCCTGGGCCATTTCCCCCTCTAGGCAATTCTCAACATCATTTTAACAGGCCGAGCAAGTCCACATGTGTTTAATGGGTACCAGAAATGTAACAGTGAAGGTGGAGTACAAAAACTATTGCATGGAGTCCTGACCCGCAGCGACGTGGGCTATTTACACTGGAGCAAGGAGGAAGTAGAGCATTACAGAATACCCCAGGTGAGAGCTTAAGCAAGTCACTGAGCTGCAACAATGCTGCTACACTCTGGTGCCTTTGCTTTAGACTGTTTGCTTTAGCCCACAAAGCATAGCATCTCCCTTCACCCAGTTTCACTGCACTGGGGAAAAACTGACCTAACTCAAGTGATCTAACTCAAAATCCTAGTGAAGAAGAGGCATTTGTACTTTTCATGGGATTTAATGGGTGGAATTAAATTAGCCTGCAGGGGAATCTGGTCTTTTACTTGACCTTCTACATCAGGGTTGTCCAACTTCCAAGTGGCTGGAGGCTGCAGACTCTCCCCGCCCCACAGCCACACACTGTGCAGGCCCCACATCTTCCAGGCCACATGCCACGCCATGCAAACTCCACCCCCTGGCTCACACAGCATGGACCCAGGAAGAACTGTATGACCCTTAATGTGCCCCACAGCAGTGCTGTAGCAAGGGGGGCGAGCGGGGCAACTGCCTCAAGCGCCAAAGCGAATGGGAACCAGCAGGCGCTGTCCAGCCAGGGCGGGGTGTGGGACGAAGCTGCTAGCTGCTTGTTTGGGGGGGGCACCCAGGGATGGAGGGAGGGTGACTCCTGCCGCTGCGTGCACTCCTGGACAAGAATGGGAGGGACATGTGCCTCCTGGATCAGTGTGCGGGGCAAGGGCTGGCTGCCACTGCAGGTTTTGCCCTGGGTGCCAAACTTCCTTGCCACAGTACTGCCCCAGCGCGCACACGTTCTATACTACACAGGCCTGCTGCATGCACAGACATGACATGATATGATGCAACACACAGCTCCACCCTCCTGTTGCACCACTCTGACACGGACACCACTCAGTATCCCCAGGTCCCCTGAGCCATCCAGCTATTGGCTCCCACCCCCAGATGTGGGGCGGGCAGCAAAAGCTGGAGGAGGAAGGGGGAGCCAGAGGACTCCAGTGGCAGCTGCAAGGGAGTGAACGAGGAAGCAGCACACAGACCAGGAGCCTGGGGGCTGCAGTTTATCCCCTCAGGGATCACATGCAGCCTGCCTTAAGAAGATTCCTTGTCTGTCAGCAGACTGATGTGGCAATCATGTCATGTCATGGGAGCAGGAAAGGGTGCTACATGGTGAGGGAGGGAGCTTGAAAGTGATGAAATTACAGGGCAGCTATCTCAATTCTGTAGTGGCTTGGGCCTAAAACATGCTAAATGTGACACTGCTGAGCCTTTTATATATTTCCTGAGATATTAATAGTTATCATTTGTCTGAAAGATTCATCAATGTCTCAAACATCAATATTTCCTGAGATATTAATAGTCATCATTTGCCTGAAAGATTCATCAATGTCTCAAATGTCAATGCTCGGAAACTGCTACTTTCATCTTCTGTTTTTTGCCTACCCCATTGGGAATTTAAAACAGCATGATCTACCCTGCATGGGCCCAAAAAGTATTTTAGTCTCTTGAGACTATTTTAAGGGGTCAAGTTACAAAGTCTCCTTAAATTAGATCCCTTCATTTCAGTACTGAAATGTTTTCATGGACCCTATTAAGACAAAATTAGTCTAATCATGTCCCACTGGGATTGAATTTGCTTATCCAGAGAAGGCACAAAACATCTTGTTCTGCCTTATTTTTTTACTTGTGTTACTACTATTGCTGTGGTTTTGATGGTGAAGTGTATCAACAACACATTGATTGTTTGAAACTTGATGAACGGCCTTGCCCTTCTTACAAGACGCTATTGTCCAATTTAGCTTTATCAGCTTACTTGTAGTATTTTCTAGATAGAGAAGATGCATTTTCTTCTCCACAAGCAAGAGACAACGCAGTTTTAAATACAGAACTTAAACTTCCTTTTGGGCATTAAGAATGATTTATACCAGCAAATACTACAGTTAAACATATAAGTCTTTTCTTAAACCAAATAAACCACCACTGCATGGGTATATACTATCTACTAGGCTATAAATTGTTTAGAGGTTATTTTTTCTTCAGTACTTAATTTTGCCTAACAGAGCTTTTGCTCTCAAGGTGAGAGCTCTATATTGGTCCTGTCTCTCACTCTGTATGTCTGTAAATTTAGCTTTACACACCAGGTTAGATGTTAACGGCCACTGGATTCAGGCTGTGTCTACCAAGCATTGACCTGAGACTGCCAAGCATATATTATATGACTTCAGAGTCAGGACAAAGGAGCAGCTATAAAAAACAAGTTCAAAGACCACATGCAGAGAAATGAAAGTCTTGTTAGAGGGGTCTATCAGTGGCTCTCATAGTAGTTTGTCAAACCAGAAAGAAAAGGAGCCTTAATCAGCACTGATGTAAGTAGCTAAACTCCAGTGAAGCCAAAGGACTTATATCCTGATCTTACATCAGGGCTGAATTTAGCCTGTTGACTTTAAAAAGAGAAAACTCATCTTGAACTGCCATGTGTACCATTAGAAAGCAGCCTTGCAGTGTAAGTCATGTTCTGAGATCCTGATTTCCACTTATTCTTGTGTATATTCCAAGCAATGAGTAGTGTAATATCAGCATAAAATCTAAGTGAGCGAGTAAAATTAGACGAAAGGACCCAACATTTTGGAGGCATTTACCAGCGTAACTGAGATCAGAATCTGACTCATGGGTACAAGGTTTCACTATTATGAGGTGGTATTATGAAGCTGGTTCTAGAGGATAATGCAATCCCCAAGCTACTTGGAAACTTTCCAAACTAAAGGGTCACATTACCATCACCCCTGTTAGTGGGGAAAAATAGATTCTACAGACAGAAAAGACTTTCCTTGTGGCAATATCCAGCACTTTAACAATTACTGAATCCATCGTCCCCTCTATGGTCACATGACAGTATTTCCCTTGTTCGTTTTCCAGACTTAGATACTCGTAGAAAAATGCAGAAGTTCAGCAGTAATTACACAAACAGCTTTCAAGGAAAGTAGGACTACTGCAGAATGTGATCTGGAATATGTTGAACTGACTACTGTTTCACTCATTCATTATCTCACTCTTAGATCATTAGGAATTAATTTATGTCAATGTTACTTGTAAAAGCAGATGTCCATAACTGACTGCAGCATCCAACATATAAAAGTATTACCAGACTTAGGATCTGTCATGTTTGTTACTATTACTATCGGTATATCTCTCTTGCTGTATCTGAATGGATAAGATTCTCAGATAGTAAAAATCAGTAGATCTCTATGGACTTTCCATTGATATGAAAGGATTTCATCAGAGCTGGACCTGAAGTTTTGTCATTCATTCTCCACAGGGTCAAATGACACCTTGACTTATTTACTCATGTACTGATTAAAAGGTGACTGTAAAGATACCATAAAAGAAATGGACAGTAATACCCCCTAGCAACAGTACTCAGAGCAGTAAAAGTAATGTTCCTTTAAAGCAACAAAGATGTTAAGTGCCTATTATTAATGAGAACACATTTTAACTACCCTTTTCCCCCAGGTTGGAAGCATGCTGAAGACTCCTAAATTACCCATCTGGCTATGCAACATCAATGGAACATACAGTGTTCTTTTCAGCACAAACAGGCTGCTCTTGTCTGACTGGAAAATGGAACACATCTTTGATCTTTACTTTTATAATGGACAGCCTTCACAGAAAAAAACCATCCATCTAACAATAGGTAGGCACTTAAGCTTACCAAAAAAGGTCATTTAATGTGTCATGCTGTCAGTGTATAATGTTAATTTGTTCATATAGTTTAAGGAAGTTGCACTAAACAACAGTGCACAAGAGGACCCAGATCAAAAGATGATCTCTTGACCACCTTTTAAATCTACCCATGAGCCTTGAGGACCCAGTTCTATGAAGCTTCCTCTCCATCCACAGGACTCTCAGCATCATGAATCATGATCAGGACCACATTATTAATATGAGGATTATGGTAGTGCTTAAAGATCCCAACCAAATACAGGGCAAGACTGTAGTAACTCCATAGTTAGAGACAGCTGTTCACTACAGTGCTTAGTCTCAGTAGACAATTTACCAGTGACACAGATGGCACACTGATGTTCTGTACCATGGCCCAAATCATCCCCCATTTGAAGCAGAGAAGGGGAGAAGAGAGCTAGGTTCCTTCCAGTGATGGCTAGGTCGGGGAGTGCCCGCGGGGTAAGCAGTGCCTCCTGGTGGTCTCTCTCACGGAACAGGCAAGAGAACTACAGGGCTCCAAAGCATCCTCTGCCATGAGGCATTCATTTATTCAATAGTGGAGGAGACCTCCAGGACTGCAGAGGAAGAAATGCCAGATGTATCGCTAGAGAAGAGAAAGGACATGAACACCCAAGAGGGTGGAAGCTGGAGTCTTGTGTCTTCTGGCAGCAAGCAGAGATCTTCACCTCCACCTGCAGTGGTTTGTCTGGGGAACAGATATGCAGCCCTAGCAACAGAGAGGGAGCAGCATGTTCCAGTGGTGGAGGAAGACAAGCCAGGCCTCACCAAGGTGGGAAGGACTGAGACAACCGCCACCAAGAAGCAACAGGTGGTGCTGGTTTGAGACTCCCTTCTGCAGGGGATGGAGGGAGCCAAGGGAAGTGTTGTCTCAGGAGGTCTGCTGCTTGCCCAGAGCCTGGATCCGAGATATCACAGAGGGGCAACCAAGGCTCATCCGGCCCTCTGACTGCTACCCCATGCTGCTCATCCATGTGGGCACCAATGAGACTGCCAGGGGAGACCTTGAGTATATCAATAGTGACTACAGGGCTCTGGGTGCAAGGATGAGGGGATCTGGGGCTCATCGATCCTTCCAGTCAAGGGAAAGGGCCTGGGCAGGAGCAGGTGCATCCTACAGATCAACACCTGGCTGCACAGGTAGTGTTGCCAGCAGAGCTTTGGCTTCTTTGACCATGGGATGTTCTTCCAAGAAGAAGGTTGCTGGAAAGAGATGGGATCCACTTAACAAAGAGAGGGAAGAGCATCTTTGCAAGCAGGCTTACTAACCTAGTGAGGAGGGCTTTAAATTAGGTTTGCCAGGGGATGGAGACCAAAACCCTGAGGTAAGTGGGGAAACAGAAGACCTGGAGAAAGCAAGCAGAAGGGGGCAACAGGGGAGGTGCTCTCATACTTCCTGAGAAATCAGGTCAATTACCTCGGGCAATGTGGAGGCAATTGGTTACCTCAGGTGTCTGTACAGAAATGCACGGAGCCTGGGAAACAAGCAGGAAGAACTGGAAGTCCTTGCACAGTCACATAACTATGATGTGATTGGAATAAGAGAGACTTAGTGGGATAGCTCGTATGACTGGAGCACTGTCATTGGGTACAAACTGTTCAGGAAGGACAGGCAGGGGAGAAGAGGAGGAGGAGGAGTTGCACTTTATGTAAAAGAGCCATACGATTGCTCAGAGCTCCAGTATGAAACTGGAGATAGGCGTGTTGAGAGTCTCTGCATTGAGGTCAGAGGAGAGAGCAGCAAGGGTGATGTCATAGTTGGGGTCTGCAATAGACCACCAGGCCAGGTGGTGGTTGAGGCTTTTTTCAAACAGCTAGTGGAAGCTTCCTAATCATAGGCCCTGTTTCTCATGGGGGACTTCAATAACCCCAATATCTGCTGGGAGGGCAATACAGCAGTGCACAAGTGATCTAGGAAGTTTTTGGAAAGTATTGGGGACAACTTCCTGGTGCAAGTGCTGGAGTGGCCAACTAGGGGCCGTGGTCTTCTTGACCTCCTGCTCACAAACAGGGAAGAATTGGTGGGGAATGTACTAGTGAATGGCAACTTGGGCAGCTGTGGCCATGAGATGAATGAGTTCAGGATCCTGAGGAAAGGAAGGACGGAAAGCAACAAAGTAAGGACCCTGGACTTCAGAAAAGCAGACTTTGACCCAGGGAACTTATGAGCAGGATCCCCTGGGAAGCCAGACTGAGGGGGAAAGAGGTCCAGGACTGCTGGCTGTACGTTAAAAGAAGCCTTACTGAGAATGCAGGAACAAACCATCCCGATGCACAGGAAGATTAGCAAGGATAGCAGAAGACCAGCTTGGCTTAGCAAGGAACTCTTTAGTAAACTAAATCACAAAAAGGAAGCTTACAAGAAGTGGAAACGTGGACAAATGACTAGGGACGAATATAAGAGCATTGCTTGGGCATGCAGGGATGAAGTCAGGAAGGCCAAAGTGCAATTGGAGTTGCAGCTAGCAAGGGATGTGAAAGGGAACAGGAAGGGGTTCTACAAACATGTCAGTAGCAAGAGGAGAATCAGGGAAAGTGTGGGTCCCTTACTGAATGGGGGAGGCAAACTTGCGACAGAAGATGCAGAAAAGGCTGCAGTGCTCAATGCCTCATTCTTCACAGGCAAGGTCGCCTCCCAAACTACTGCACCAGGCAGCACAGTTTGTGAAGGAGGTGAGCAGCCCTCAGTGCCGAAAGAATAGGTTAGGGACTACTTAGCAAATCTGGATGTGTACAAGTCCATAGGGCTGGATGGGATGCCCCTGGACACGGTACTCCAGATGTGACCTCACCAGTGCTAAATAGAGGGGAATAATCACTTCCCTCGACCTACTGGCAACACATCTACCAATACATCTCAGTATGCCATTAGCCTTCTTGGTAACAAGGGCATACTGCTGGCTCATATTCAGCTTATTGTCCACTGTAAGCCCCAGGCCCTTTTCTGCAGAGCTGCTGCCCAGCCAGTCAGCCCCCAGCCTGTACTGGTGCATGGGATTGTTCCATCCTAAGTGCAGGACTTTGCACTTATCCTTGTTGAACCTCATGAGATTCCTTTTGTCCCAGTCCTCCAATTTGTTAAGGTCACTCTGAATCTGCCCTATCCTCCAGCATATCTACTACTCCCCCCAGCTTGGTGTCATCTGCAGACTTTCTGAGCATGCACTCCATACCATCTTCCAGGTTGCTGATGAAGACATTGAACAAAACCAGCCCCGGGGCCGACCCCTAATCTCTCTGAATCGAATCAGAAGCCTCAGAATCGATTTGGAGAGATTGGACGATTTATCCATAGACACAGTTTTATATGTTTTTTCTACGTATCTCAAGGTACTAGATGCGGCTTGTGAACACTGTGATGGCAGGGCGGATGGAGCATCCCACAAGAGAATGGGGAGGGGGTTGGGTCCCCTGCATGCTTGGTGGTGGACCCTGAAGTGGACCAGAAGTACTTCCGGTCCACTTCCGGGTCCACCATGGAGCGCACAGGGGACTCCCCTCTCCCCCTCCCGGCTTGACAACTGGTGCTTCCTGGGTCTGGGGTGACACTCCCGTACTCTCTCAGGGCGGATGGAGCATCCCACAAGAGAATGGGGAGGGGGTTGGGTCCCCTGCATGCTTGGTGGTGGACCCTGAAGTGGACCAGAAGTACTTCCGGTCCACTTCCGGGTCCACCATGGAGCGCACAGGGGACTCCCCTCTCCCCCTCCCGGCTTGACAACTGGTGCTTCCTGGGTCTGGGGTGACACTCCCGTACTCTCTTGAGATACTCCATCTGCCCCACCATCTCAGCATTCATGAGCCAACCTCAAGGTATGTAGAAAAAACATATAAAGCTGTGTCTCTGGCTGAATTGCCAATTCTCCAAATCAGAATTGAATCTTCAGATTCAGATTCAGCCAAATCAAATTGAGACAGTGATCCGAATCAGCGAATCAAATCACTATCCCCCAAATTGGGCTGAATCCAAATTGAATACTGCCCATTTCGCACACCCCGATTGATTACTACTCTCTAAGCCTGATGCTCCAGCCAGTTTTCTATTCACCTTACAGTCCATTCATCCAGCCCATACTTCCTTAGCTTGCCTGTGAGAATATTGTGAGAGACCATAACAAAAGCCTTGCTAAAATCAAGGTACACCACATTCACTGGTCTCCCTGCATCTGCAGAGCCAGTCACCTCATCCTAGACGGCAATCAGGTTGGGCAGGCATGACTTGCCACTGGTGAATCCATGCTGACTGTTCCTAATCACCATTTTCTCCTCCAAGTGCTTAGAAATGGATTCCTAGAGGATCTGCTCCATGATTTTTCCCTCCACAGAAAGGATGTGGTAAAATTGAAGAGAGTCCAGCAGAGGGCGACAAAAATAGTGAAGGGGCTGGGGCACATGAGTGATGACTGAGGAAAGACTGAGGGAACTGGGCTTATTTAGTTTAGAGTAGAGGAGACTGAGAGGGGACTTAAAAGCAGCCTTCAAGTACCTCAAGGGGGGTTCAAAAAGAAAATGGAGTCTGTTCTCAGTGGTGGCAGATGACAAAGGTCTCAAGTTGCAGCAAGGGAAGTTTAGGTTAAATATTAGGAAGAATTTTCTCACTAGGAGGGTAGTAAAACCCAGCTAGACAAATCTTTGGGTGGATTGATTTAGTTGGGGATGGTCCTGCTTTGAACAGGGGGTTGAAGTAGATGACCTCCTGAGGTCTGTTCCAACCCTAATTTTCTGTGATTCTATGATTCCCAAGCTGTGACTGCCCTTGTAGTTGAGTGGCCCCTGATAATATGACTCTAAGTTCTTGCTCTTCCTGTGTCGCACCAAGTTGTAAACTCACCTGCCTCTGCACTGCCATCCTATGCCCCTTCACTGCCACTAGGATGAGTTATGAACGGTCCCATTTCATAAGCTTTCTACCCCATTCTTTGCTATCTGTTTTATCCTAGGCTTCAAACTCCAATTCATTTACATGAACACCTTTCCTAGGAGCTAGTGATATGATAATCCGTGGGAAAGCAATGCTTCACTCTGACCCAGCTCACCAAATTTATACTCAAGTAAAAACAACTGAAGGGAAGGGCTTGTCCTGCATGTTTATGATCAATGGGAAGGGCTGAGAGTTCAAGGCTCTTGACCCAGCAGGTATTAACTCCAGAAAGTGTGCCACTGCTACTACTGAGAAACAAGGTCAGATTCTTAGGAAGTAAGGTCCTTGTTCATTATTGCACCAACAGTTACAGCAATGCTGTGTATAGTCGTCCATAATGCTCACACACTTGAACCTCACTTTAACCCCCAAAACTGTACATTTAAACCATGGCTACTGAACCGATAATGTGAAACCGCATAATATGGTGAGACAATATTTCCATTTCCATTTCTGCATTTCTCTAGCAGCTACAGACTTGTACAGCATGTAGGACAGCAGGATATGACTCACACAGTTGCATTAGGTTATTAGTATGGAATAGTAGGAGTAGTGAGTACTGCTGTAGCAATTAGATTCATTGTATTTTAAACTGAATTTAAGGTGCTTCCCTTCCAGACACTCATTCTCACCACTGGGAAGAGAATCACTGTGAAGAGGAAAGTGATCCAGAGAAAAGATTTCCTTCCGTGGAAATGGCAATCAGAACTAAGTGGGCAGGGGCAGCCATCAACTGGAACGGGACAGCCCCATTCTTCTGAAGACAGAGATGGCAAGCACATGGCAACCTCCATCCTGTGGGCAGCTCCATAAAGCATGGAAGTCTACTGGGAAAGAGAACACTTTTGTTACCAATGAGAGAATCTTTGCCATCATGGCAGGACTTGTCACTTGAATTGGCACTTTGCTACATTTGCTTATAGATGACCATTAGGGCTGTGCGAAGCTTCAGTCCCCAATTCGATTTGATGGAGATTCGACCCAATTCAGTGATTGAATCTCCGAATCTGAATCAGAGGACCCTTCAGTCTTCCCAAATTGAATCAGAACCCTCCAAAAGATTCAGAGATTCGGATATAAACACAGCTTTAAATGTTTTTTCTACATACCTCAAGGTACCAGGCAGCTCGTGAGTGCTGCGATGCTGGGGTGCGTGGAGTGTCCCACAAAAGCATGGGGGGCTCCCCAGCGCACTGAGCAGCAAACCTGGAAGTGGACCAGAAGCATTTCCAGTCCCCTTCCGGGTCTGCTGGGGAATGCTCGGGGGGGGAGGGGCGGCCGTGCCCCCTCGGCTTGGCGACTGGTGCCTCCTGGGTCTGGGGGGTGGAGGGGGTACCTGGGGTTCCTCCATGGCCGATCATCAAGCCGGAGGGGTGCTGAGGGGCCTCCTTGCAAACCTGGATGTGGACTGGAAGTAGTTCTGGTCCACTTCCGGGTTCATTGCTGAACCAGGTTCCCCCTCCCCGCGCTCCTGTGGGGCACTCCATCCACCCCAGCATCACAGCATTCATAAGCCGTGCCTAGTACCTTGAGGTATGTAAAAAAACATTTAAAGCTCTGTCTGTGTCTGAATCACTGATTCCCCAAATCAGCATTGAATCTTCAGATTTGTATCCAGCTGGATCGAATCAGGGACAGTGATCAGAATCAATAAATCGAATCACTGTTCCCGATTTGGGCTGAATCTGAATCAAATAGAGCCCGTTTCACACACCCCTAATGACCATTTATGAGTGAACAATTCATTATTCAATTATTTAATGTTGCAAGAATTATGGGATGGGGTGAGTTTGTGTCTCATACATGCTTCTTACTGATGGTAAAAGAGAAAAGTGGAGCATGGCAACATTTTTTTTCCACACTAGCACCTCCACTTTCCCCCCAATTCAAGCACTAATGTTAAAGAAAAAATAGTGTGTCTTGTCAGTCCTGTACAAAGTAAAAATATTGTGAATAGGATGATGATAATAGGAGTGCCCACGATGCTCATCTGAGGTGCGTGTGCATTACAACATACAAGATTTCATGATCCAGCTGCTCTGCACATTTCAGATTCTCTGTACCTCTGTCGAAATGAAAGCCCTGATGGACGAAACACAGAATCCTTGCATTCTAGTCCCAGCTCCACTACTTTATGGCCAAGAGAAAACATCTTCTGGCCAATTTCTGGTTGTTACAGACGGTGGCATGCTGGCAGGGGAGGAGAGCAGGGAGGGAATGCCCACCCAGCAGGGTTATATGCACAATACTTCAGGGGAGCTGCATTGCAAGACTTGTGAATGCAAAATGATACAGGACATTAGCACCTGAAGAAAAACAGATACCACCTCCAATGTTTCACATGTTACCGTGTCACAAACAGGATTCTTCTTTCTAAATAACCATAAGGGATCCTATGTATTTTAAGGCTTATTTTTTATTTATTACTTAGCAATTAAACACAAACAGGTCAAATTCTCTCCCAGCATAACTTTACTAAGACTACGAGGCTGAATTCTTTTTTATGCTGCAATTTGTGCCCTATACAATGATAAAGCCAATGGTTAAACAGGATGTGATAGCTGTAGGTAAATGTAAACAACTTGACCACTCTGGCATCTATCACAAAATATGCAAAGAAAGGGTCTGGCAGTAATCCCCTAAAATGAAATCTGTCAAGTGCCTCTCAGCCGCTTGAGTTATTTTTGGCTGCAAGATGCAACAGAATGTAACTTTTCAAAAAGGAATAGTAGTGGTTGAACTCCACTTCCCCTTATGGCAATAGCAAATTCTCCCTGCGATTTCAATGGGAGCTATATTCAGAGGTTACTAAGTGGCACAGCACTGCTATGGAATTCATGACTGGGTCCAGAGATAACCAGACATACCAACAAACCAAAACCAGGTGTGACAGTAATTGCATGGTACACTGCACTTCCCATCAGATTTTTATCACTCTTTGCCATCTCTTTTTCTGTCTGTACAACATACACAGAAGTCCATGTCTAGTGCTGGGAAACCTCACTATGTAAAAAGATGGGCTCACAACATCTAAATAAAAGAGCGAGAGTCACTTGGTAGAACTCCCATGAAAAAAAAAAATCTCTCTTATCAGAACTGTGTCCTTTGTGTGTACAGGCAGACATAAGGTGCAGAACAAAAGTATAAAGACCTCAGCACTACTGAGAACAGCTTCCATCTGCTGCACAGGGAAGAACGTGCAAGTGAAACACTTTTAGCAATAAGTACAACCCTGAAGGACCTGTTCAAAATAAAATCTCTATTATGATGAGTTACTGGAATACTCCACCAGGTGGTGCTCATAGAGCTCTTCATTTATCCTTCACATCAACAACAACAGTAGCAAAGCTCACACTAGGCAATCTGCATATGCTGGCAAGTGCAAACAGCAAAAATGTATTGGGGTTTTAGTGACTGTGCAACAGAGGTACTGGAGCAAGCTATGTGCAGAATCCCCACAGGAACACAGGCAATCCATGTCACTTCTGATCTGCTAACAACTCTCCCCTTCCATTTTAGGACTTGCCTGAGAAAGAGCTATCAATCACGCCAAAATGGTGACTGAATTAGGACCACTACAATCTTTTCTCTTGTGATCTACATCAAAACAAGCCCAGGGGTTCAGACAGAAAAGCCAAGTTCACCATGGGCCTTTTGTTCAACTCACCTTCCTGCAAGTCACCTCTCTGAAGTCAAGGATTTGCACCCACCACTATTTTTATTTGGAACATCTTAAAGCTTGTTTCATGTCATTTGGTGGTTCCCTTCACCTTCAAGAACTAGTCCTGGCCAACACCTCTGAACAAGTGTCCTTCCTCTCACTCTACTTGTAATTTTAGACTCAATTTCCTGTTCACTTCCAGGGTACTTCCATGCTGTCTCCCTACCATAGGCGCGTTTCATAAACCTACTCCACAGGCCACCCGCCCTGGTTCATTCAAGTCATTTTGGTGGTTTGCCTCAAATTCCCCCCTAATAGCTCATTTCTGTCATCTTATCTGCAGAGAGTGAGGGGCAAAAAAGAGAATGGAAACATTGAGATGTATGTGCCTCACCAAGCTTAAAAAAGAAAGAAAGAAAGAAAATCACCTGATCTCAGCAGCTTATTTCCAATTTCCCCAGCCATTTTTGTGCCTGTTTATGACCCTTCCCCCTTCCTCTTCTTCCATCATGTTTATTATAAATTCCTTTGAGCAAGAACTGAGCTTCCATTCATTGCTGAGACAACAGCACCTGTTGGGGTGCTAAAAAAATAAGTGGTAATAAAAATGAGATCTGGCTACTAAAGCTGGTTTGAAAAAAAGCGACTATAGGGACTGAACAGTTCTCACTGGTCAGAGAAGTTTTGCATTTATGTCTGTGGCTTTCTACTTTTAGCCCAGAAGTTTATTCGCAGAAGGCAAACTAGGAGTCCAGAAAAGATTCATACATCTGCTTATTTTAACATGCACGACCAGTTCCACTGACATAGTGGAAGGCCTCATCATTTAGCAAGACTATAATGCACTAAAGTTAAGGCTTCACCAGACATGGGCCTATTCAATAACAGCTTAAAGCTGTGACAAAGAATTTGACAGATAAATCCAGTCAGTGTAAACAATGAAACCCACAACCCATTGTGGTTTCTTACATGAACCAGTCTCAAAAAAAAAAAAAAATCGTAACAGAGTCTCTGAAAACTCCTGGATGAGCTGCCAGGTTTTCAACTCCAAGACCAGTCAAGCAGGTATGAACAGACAGGCCAGTGATTATGAAACAGCTTTCAAGTACTGAGCATGAACTCAGCTTTCTGACTGGCCATTGTTGCTGGCACACGCATGTCAAATCCAAGCACACTATAGAAATGAAATGACTTTGCTTTATAAATTCTGTGTCAACAGCTGTTAGATACCTCACATTTCTAAGAGATTATTGCTTCACTTAGGTGGCTGAAATCAGTTGCTCTATTAACATCAATTCAAAAGTTACTATTGACATAAATAGGGCCAGGATTTCACTCTTGGCTTTCAGTACTGTGCTTTGTTTATAACACTGTATAATATCACACAAGTTGGAGGATGTAAAACAGCATCCATTCATTGAGGCGCAAGATTGGGAGGTGCCTTTCCCACATCAGCCTCATATTTGTTTGAGGATCATTGGCATCTCCAGACATTCATTTCCTTATTGGTAAAATGGAGATAATGCCCCCTGCTTTATAAGGCAATTATAAGACCAATATGTGGCAGGCATTTCAATATCTTTAACCATGAGCTATTACGGGCAAGCAAAGCATTTTTAAATGATACGGACAGATGATCTTGTATCTAACTCCCCTCAGTAGATTTTCTTTTCCAAAGCCTCCACTATTAGCTTACCATATCCATTCCCTATAAACTGTCATCTCCTAAGGCATTTTGAAAAATAAAGCAAACTCAAACAACTAATAGCAAAAGATAGAGCGCCTGAACCAAACAAAATGTCAAGCTATTCAGCTCCATCATGAAACATTCACCCAGACTGGAAATTAGAAAGTAAGTTAGACAACATCAAGGTGGTCACCATCATTAGTGCCTTCTTAGTAATTATTACTACTAATGAAGAACACTCACCCACACTCTCAATAGGCTTTATAAAATATGACTTTTATTTTTCTGTTTTTCATCAGAGGAAAGTAAGTAAAAAAATTAAGCAATTAGCCAATAATCTCCAAGTAACAAAATGCCACAGTGGAAAATGAAAATCAGGTCCTCTCCCTATCCTGTAACTTATTAACTAGGTC